TTGGACAAAAATGTAGTCACATGACCACACTTAACTGCATAGAAAGCTGGGAAATGTGATATGTGAGTGTCTGTGGCTCAACTAAACTTGGGGATTTTATGATAAGAAAACAGAAATGGATGCTAAGGGACAATAGGTCATCTCTGACATAGAAAGTGAATGGAGGGAAAGGACTGTCACATGGACATGGGAAAGGCAATTGGGCATCGTAAGAAAAGCTGCCAGCCTGCCAGCCAATGTGCTATCTAGGAACCGGGCACTGAGAAGGATATTAAGGTTCATGGTACAATATGTTTTATAAACCCAGATTGTTTCCCTTACTGGTAGTTACATAAAATGGGAATGATATGACTCACCTCCTGAGTTTGTTGTGAGGATTAAATATAGCAATGATGTGCAAAGATTTTGTAAATTCCAAAGTAATATAAAAATAAAAACTAATTATTCTAATCATAAGATGATGTTGTTGCTTCTGGCACTCCGTGAAGGAGATGGGCATGGCTCACTTGCCTTAAAGATGCTTCAGTTTTGGGCTCAGCAAACTTGCTTCTCTCTCTGTAGGTGTAAGTTATTCTATCACATAAAGGACACCAAGGTGTTGAGAAAAACCAAGGAGGCTTCTTTTAGAAAAGGTTTTTGCATTTCAGAAAGAGCTAGTAGACAAACACAAAGTAAGGTTATTTGGCACAAACTGTGCCCAAAAAAGGAACATTGTAAGACAGAACCAAGGGAAAGTCTTGTGTTCCCTTTGGCCTCTGCTTCTCCAAGAGGCCAATTTCTTCCACGCTGTTGTCACCATCTTGCACACAAATGTAGACCAAGAGAGATACACGCTTGACTTATTTTCAGACTACTACAAGACAACAAAACAGCAAAAAGAAAAGTGATTTTCTACTTCAATAATATTCGGCATCTTATCTCGTTGGATGCAAGACTGATATAGTGGTTATGGATACTTAAGAGCATAAATAGAAAGATTTGTGGAGTTACATGGTATTAGGACAAAGAATGCAAGCGTTATCACAAGTCACAGTGTAACTAGGGATTCCATTTGGGAGGAAAGTCCAGAAAGGATAGTTAAATCATTGATTTAATGCTCCCAATGCCCCCAACTACTCAATCCCTTGACCCTCAATCTTTTATGGCAAGTTGCCAGCTTGTTAGCACAGGAAAAGACTGGAAACAATAGAATTTTGGAAGGTTAGCCTTCCACTTTGAATTATAGGTAGCATCAGTCTTTCATATCTAATAAAAAGATTTTTTTTAATCTATATAAGAAACTGCTACAAGGCTCTTGATTTTCAATGATCATTGTAAATGATGTGTCAGCTTCTGTGTTTACAGATGACAGAGAATAATCTATTCTTTAGTATTTATGATAAATACTTTTTGTAAGCTTATGTACTCACCTTTTAAGACTTGAAGCAAGAATTAAATCAGTCTGTGTATGTAAAGTATCCTTATTCCTGGAATAGAGAAAACATATAAGAAATGGTAATTAATGGTCGCTGTATTAGGTATTGGTTCATAGCTGAGGTCTATAGTGATCTACAAAACCACATAGCCACTTCGATACTCATCTATTATAATGACTTCATAGAAGACAAGGACTCTGAAGTAAACACCTCAGAGGACATTGGGTTTTTTGAGAGGCTATTTCTGCTTCCTTGGGAAAATCCCAGAAGTGGCAAAGAATGAGAATCTCTGTCTTATATCCACCTGCTACCTCCAGGTTTTCAACCACTCATCTTGACGTGAAATGTGGGGACAAGTGGTGGGACTAGGATGTGTGAATGAAAGCAGAAACCCCTGGAGTAGCGCCATGTAGAATGCATGGGATCAGAAAGGGGCAGAGAGGGAGAGGTTGGAGATAGAAATGCCTGCAGAAATGGCGGGATTAAGAGATGTAGAGTAAAAGAGCAGGGCAAAAGGCATGTGGAGGTGGCTGGAGGGAGTTGGGTGAAAAGAAGTTGGCCTGATTTTCACTAATTCCAGGGTCTGGGGGAGAGGGACTGATGTTACTGATTAAAACAGAATGGTCAGAGAAAAGCTTGCTTTTTGATGATGTCACGGGATTATATTGGACATCTTAGGTGGATTTCTTTCACTCATTCACAGTTTCATTTATTCATTCATCAAAATGCATTGTTTGATCCTTTGCTACATGTCTGATGGTACCATGCTAAGCTTTGATATGCCACCTACTTGCTTCCTCAAGTAGGTGGCGGGAGATGACAAATAAACAGACAATTACAGTGGAAGGTGAGTGGTGTAAAGATTGAGGTGCACAAGGACACCAGGGGAACACACAGGAGAGGTGCCTAATCAGACTGGAGGCTGGGGGTTAGAGACATGAGGTAATGTCTCAGCTGAACTGAGTCATGAAGGATGAGCAGAGGTGAGCCAGGCAAGAAAGGGGAGAGAAAGGCATTTCATACAGAGGGAGCAGCAAGTTCAAAGGCCCAGAGGCAAGAAATTAAACAAAATCGTGAGCCCTGCCAGGTTTGTAAGTATGAGTGGAATATAGAGTACAAGGAGTGACAGTGACGTGAGAGGATGCTAACAGGATAAACAGGGAGTTTGTAAGGGAGCTTGAAAGTGGACAAACATGAGCAGATTTGGGGTGTGTGGAGATGACTCTAGCAGTGTGAAGTTCAGATTAGAGGTGCTGGCATGTCCACCCAGGCAGCAGCACTTTTTTCTTTGAATCTTCAGGTGACTGTTAAAATTTTTTTTTAAGTTGTAGTGATTAGGGTCTCCCTGGTGGTGCAAGTGGTTACGTCTAGGTACTATGAATCTGTCTGCAGCCACTGTAGCACAGGTTCAATCCCTAGCCAGCGAGGTGACCCATATGGGGCAGTAGACCTCTTCTGTCTCCCCACTGCTCCCCTCAGCAGGGTATTTCAGTAAATCCTCCTGTTCTGCTCCCCACTCTGTCTTTGGTGAATCCTCTCACCCTCTGTACCTCTGGCCTGTACCTCAGTTCTGGTATGCATAAGAAATAAATCTTTAAAACATTTTTTTAAATAAATAATAATTTTATTGATCAGTTGATGAATTCTTCCTGCAATAATGGATGTTTAATCATCTGCAAAGGATGTTGTGAAGAAATTCACAAGTTCCTACTCTTCATATGGTTTCCAAACCCATAGGCGAAATAGCAGTATGTTGTAGTACATGTAGGTGCTGAGTTAGTGGCACCTCAGTTGGGAATGAGAGATCAGTCCTAGGTGTTTGGGGAGGCGTCAGGGCGAGACTTGGGCTTTGGGTAGTGGGAGAAGCTGGGGAGCAGAGAAGACAAGGGTTTCCACCAAGCTGAGGTAATAATTATAACTGGTTTTTTGAGCACATCCTCTATGCCAATGTTCACACACATTATCCCAAACACTGTAGCCATGCGGAAGTGTTACAAATCATCCCCACTTTGTAAGAGAAGAAAATGGGATTCAGAAATTTAATATGAAAGTTGTGACTCACAAGAATCAGGATTCCAGCCCCAGATTGGCTGATTCCACTGACAGGATCTTTCCACTACAAGATGTTGCCACTTCTCACCCACGGGACCAAGGTCCCACTCACTAGCACCGAAGTCTCAGGGATAATCCCTGCTCCAAAGCCCAGGGTGGAGTGAGTATCGCTCAGTCATGGCTGTCTGGACTGGGCCGCTTGTCAGGCAAAGTCACACACACGGCTGTCTCCAGTTCTAGTGCTTCTCAATGCGGGTCCCTGGGTCAGCAACATATCACTCAGAACTTGTGAGAAACACAGATTCTTCACCTTTTCCCAAATTTACTAAAGCAGAAACACATCTTGGAGGCTAAGCCCAGCTGTCGTATTTAAGAGCCTTCCTCCTCCTAGCCATTCTGAGTATGATGCAGCTGAAAATTTGAGAGCCAAAGTTTGAGTCCTTTAAGGGTCCTTTATAGAAATCAAAACCTCCGTTTGCTGTTGCTGCCAGTCCCTGAGCATCTGAGATGTGCAAAGATTAATAGAAAGAAAGAGCTCTGGGCTTCTGGCCCCAGAAGGTTGTCATCTGAATTTCTCCTTTGAATCACTTGGATTTTATGAGCAGTATTTAATGATCAGGTGAATGAACTCCAGACCTAGGACAGTGTACAAGTGCCAATAAAACACAATTTCCTAGTTTGGGGAAATGTTTCCTGGTGATTTCCTCTTTGCGTATTGTAAACCTTGGCCGATTGTAGTGAAAGCAAATCAATGCCTAATCCAAGCAATTTCACAGGGACCTCACAATATTACCTTCATGGAAATGGTCTGGTTGCCCCCAAAGAACTTTTGATTGCTGATGCCTTTGCTATTTGGTGATTGACAGGAGGAAGTGATTGGAGACTTGAAACCAGGCACTGAATATCAAGTGAGCATAGTAGCTTACAGCGGGATGGGCAAAGGGCAGCTCAGCCTTCCTCAGCATGTTACCACTTTGCCCCAAGGTAAGTTTGGGTTCACTTCATTAATAATAAGGAAGTGACAGGTGCTATTCATTCTTTCTTTTGGTATATATCCATGAGGCCCTGTGATGTGCCAGGCACTGTGCTAGGTTCTGTGATGAACTAAGTGATGAACTAAGTGATGAACAAAACAGGCACAGTCCTTGCCCTTCCAGAACTTAGGAGGGGCGGGCAAGACAATTTAGTTAATATGGAGCCAAGGATTGTGTTAGGTGCTAGCTGCAGTGCTATAAGAACTGTGCAAAGACTGAGGTAAGGGTAATGTAAGAATTTCCTGAGGAGATGACTATTAAGTGGAGAGCTGATGGGTATGGACACCAAGATAGGAAGAGGAATAGAAGGGATTGTGGGCAGGGGAAATCCAACAAATGCTTACCGAGGTGGCTCTGTGCTGGATACCCAGGGCAAAGATCCTCAGAAGGAGCTCACTGCAATTGGTCATCTAGTAGCTCTGATTCATGGGATACCTGTGCAAGGGAGAATTTCTCCCACCTCAGGGCTCAGGGACAGTTTCAGAAAGACTCATATTTGGCATGAATTGTAAAACCTGCTTAAGCAAATTTGCTAGGAAGACAAGACATGAAAATGTGTCTGGTTGAAGCCAAAGAGTACACAGCGGCTGGGAGATGTGAATGTCTGGTTATGAAAGTAGTCACAGCAGGTACCTTGAGATGATGGGGTCACGGGTGACCCCTAATCTCTATGCCTGACAACGTTGCCCACACATCCTCCCGTTGGTCTTTGTACTGATGGTCAGGGAAACACACACACAAGAATGGCGAGTGGCATTTACTTTTCCCTGTTGGTAAATATCAATTCCAACATGCAAACAGTGAGGAAAAGTTGTTAGGGAGGGGGATGATTGTAGATTTTAAAGGGTATAAACATGGGTACTTTGGTCAATGATCTGGATGTTACTCAGTTGCATTTCCAGCCAAGGCTGCTGGGAGGAGGGGACAGGTCGGTGCGTTTCAGCTCAGACCTCCTGTGTTGAATCCTGTTGGGGTTTGTTCGGGTTGGATTTGAGGTTGTTCTCAACAGAGTGTTTCGGTTGAAGGAAACTCACTTGTTTTGTCCTTTTTAGTTTTTATATTAAACCTCTTTGGCAATAAAAACTACCGGTCAACTCTAGCTACATTTACTCTCCCATCTAGGTTCCTGCCTGCCTCCAACAGCACCTCAGCAGCCCCACGTCACTGTGGTTTCTGACTCCGAGGTGGCCCTGTCTTGGAAACCCGGAGAGAGTGAAGGAAGCTCCCCTATTCAGTATTATTCTGTGGAATTCATCAGGTAAGGTTGGGTGTCCCATTCAAAAGCCAAATGTGTGGCCCTTGAATGTTCCAAGCATGGGACAAGCCTTGAGGGAGCTCACTCTCCTGCATGTGTATTTAAGACATGACAAGAGTGTATAGACCTGCATTTATAACTGTTCTCAGACCGTGGGCCAGCATCTGTCTCCATTACACTTGAGTGATGGGTCATCTGGTAAACCTGACCCCACTCTCCTTCATAGTCAGGCTGTCCTGGGCTCTGAAAATTCCTGAGGTACTATTGCCAAATATATGCTGCATTTCAGTCTTGAAACTTGCTTCCTTTGCTTTGAAACATCGAGTTTGAAGTATGGTGACCTTTCTCGAGGGAGGGGAATTTAAACACACACACAAACACACACACACACACACACAAAACCCTTTAAAAGCAATACAATTTGTTGTTTCCTTCACATCTGTATTGCTGTGGGGCAAATTTCTTGGTTTGGTTTCAGATTTTTGTCTCATCGACCTCACTGGTTCTTGTATTCAGCTTATCAGAGGGTATAAAGTGATTAGGAGTTCTTTTAAGAACTTACGGATGAAAAAACACAGATTCCCAATGCTGCTATGTAATTTTAAGAAAAAAAAATTCTTTTCACTGTAGCTCTAGTTGCAATTGGATTTTGAATTGAAGCACCTTGCTCACAAAAACTATGTTTGTAGAGTGGGTGCTTCCCACGTTAAAGGAGAAGGGGCTTCTGGGCCTGCCACTTCATGCATTCATGAAGAGGCTAGTTTAGTGCTTCATTCCTGAGGCTCTCTGAAGCTAGGACAAAGGATTCTGCCAAGGTTTGATTTCACCACCTCTGCCTCTGCTTCCTGACTTGCCAGTGGATTCCTTGGTACTGGAAAACAGATATTTGCGTTCAGAGGAGTACTACACTGAGACTCCTTAATACTTGAGTATAGAACTTGTTTTGAGCAGGACTTGAATTGTAAGTGGTGAATGCTTGAAAGAAGATGAGGCAGTGATGTATTAATTCTGTGCAGTGTTAAGTTCAGGGTGGACTAGCTCTATGTCTCATCATCTTTCTGGATCCTTCCATAACTCTACTCCACTTTCATCTTCAGTCACTTCATTTTCAGATAGGCTTGTCCTTTGTGGTCGCAAGATGGCCACTAGGCCTTAAAGACGTTAGTCTATTCACATGGCTTCCCCCTGGAAAAGGGTGACTGTATCGCAATGGGCCCAGCAGAGTCTTACTCTTCACTCTAATTGTCCACGCTTGAGAACCTTTCCATTCTCTGACCCAATCACTATGGTCTGAGAGGAGACTACACCAATTAATCAGGCGATTCTTTCATGGAAGCAGGGGCCCATGGATCAGATAGACTCAAAGCACATGAATTGAAAGTTCAAGAGTATTAATTCCTCACAGGAAAATGTTGATGCAGTTAAGAGAAAGGGAAGAGGTAGGTCCAGGGGTAAAAATTAAGTGCCCTTCTGCTAAGTTCTATGTCACAACCTTTCAGAAGATCATAATCTTGCCCCTGGATAGCTTTGGTAGGCAAACCTTGGACGGTCCTTGACATAGAAAAATCCTGGTTCTAAAAATAGTTAAAAGTGTACCACTGCAAGTTCCTAAAACTGCAACATTTCCATCTATAAAACAAGGAGTGAAATTTAATAATTAATTTTTTTCTTGTGTCACACAAGCAAAACAAAATATGATACTTGAAATAATTTTAGGAGCTACAGTTTTCCATAGTAGCCTAGCAGATCATTTGTTATCTCTCAGCAATGATGATCGTTGTTTATTGTTAATTTTGTGTTGAAGCATTTGTTTTTGAACTTGTTTTAAGTCTGGCAGTTGGAGAAATGTAGAAATTGCAGTTCCTTACCCTGCGTGCATAACTGAAAGCAGAAAATGAAGAGTTTCACTGGATTTAGAAACACAAAGGCTGCTAGAGGTGATGCTAGGCAGGTCTCTTCTGCCTGCCCTCCCCCCCAAAGCCACCAAAGCTCTCAGTGTTACAGAGGGAGGTCATGGAACTCGCTTACACACAAAGGAGGTTTCTATTGAGGCTTCATTCCAGGAGATCCTTGTGAAGTGGAGAGTTTCTCTCAAGACCCATTCACCCACTGGCTCTGTCCTTTGTTGTTTGGTGGTTTCCTCCAAGGGCATAAATTCTTACACTTGTAGGCTCTGCTGGCATGTGAATAAAGGGGAGGGTTCTGGGATAGAGGGAGGAGTGGCATGAACACAGCATGTCACAGTGCTTGAGTTTGGACGCTGGCCATCCGAGGCAAGTCTGAATTCACATGAAACTGTCTGCATCACAGCTGCTGCTGAAATCAGAACTGGGACAAGGAGAGGTGTAACACAAGGTCCCAGGGGCCTCGACGACAATGACTACAGTGTCCTCCCTCTAAAACATGGGCAGTAGTTCCTCCGAGCTTCAAAGTGTGTGTGTAGGAGGATTGAGTGGGAATCGTATGAAAGAGATCTTTGTAGACATGAGAAAGGATAAGGTATAGAAGGGTGTTATGTTCCTACACTTATAGGAATAATTATAATTCCTCTCCAACAAAATTTAAACATTCTAAGCTGTCTCTAAGACTTCACTCTTATCTGATAGTCTTTTATTTAAATATTTTCAAATTATATCATCGTATACCACCCTAACAAACTGTTAACGGCTTTTTTTTTTTTTTATCTTGACAATAAACCTTGTAAACTTAGTTTCAAATTGAGACCTTTCTTCTCAGTCAAATTGAGAACTTTCAGACAGCTCAGTGTTCCAGAACATGGCAGGATGGGGGACCCCAGTGTGGGTTCCAGTTCCTGTGCTGGAAATTCTGCCTTTGTTCTCTATTTCAGTTTATGTAATATTGATCAAGTTTTATTTCAGAACTTTCATTTCCTCATCTCTACCATCAAGTAGAGTCTCACTGTAAGCTGGATGCCCCTGGTGTTCATAGATATTTATACAGAGTAGACAATTCATTATGTGTTTGTTACTTTCCCCCCTTTTTACAAAGAAAATGGTTGAGACTCAATTGCTTCTGTTGCTTTATCAAGATAAAATGGCTGCCGGGGCCAGGGAAAGACTTCTGGCTCAGCGCCCTTACTATGAAGCCACACACGATGTTCATGTCTTGAGTCACCTTTGGCAATGGCAGCATGAGCTCTGCTTGCCTGGAGTCCAGCTGGCTGAGCAGATGGGAAGCCTAGGAAATCCCCCATTCACTGGTGACCACCTTAGAGTGTGTCTTATTATGTGGTCTGTCTGAGTATGTGTGTGGAGAGAGAGCTTTCCTGGCTCTAACTCATACACGATATTAGTGTGGCAGGTTTTGGGGGCTGTTGGTTATTCTGCTTTCCCCAGAGAGGTCTGTTTAATATTCAGTGTTGAATTGCAGACACCTCTTGTGCATGAAAACCTACAGGACTCTGGACGGGTCTTTCCCAGGGAAGTTGTGGCAATGAAGTTTTCACCATAGGTGAAATGAAATTTCAACCATTGTCATGTGAATTCTCGCTTAATTCTGTCACTGGAAGTTTAGGCTTCAGCCTTAGCTAGTCTAGGCTGTCTTGGTTCATGCTTCTACAGACCTTGTTCTTCTCATTCAGGGAAAGTAACGATTCAGAGGCATTATTAGCAAACTGTTTTAAAAGACTCTTAAAGGGTTTTTATGAATTCAGTTATTTATTATGTCGAGGTTTCATAGAAACATACTTATGACTTTTTTTAATTCTTAATTTTTTTCCAAATTTATTTATTTAAAGGAATATTTAACTGGTTAATAGAAGATCATCTTGAAGAAATCGTACCACACTAGGGTGAGGGGTATTTATTGTTATTTAATGCTCTCTTGAGTCATGAATTTAGGAGTGGGCAAATTTTTGTTCCTTATATGCTTCTATTTCCTCCCGAATGGAGGACACTGGGGTGAGGGGTTGGGGGCAGGGAGTGTAACTCTCATAGACTGATGAGAGAGGAGGTTTGTAGGAAAATCTTCAAAGGGTGGATTCTGAGTAAGACCACAGACTGCAACATGTTTTACCAAGTGTTCTAACAACTTTTACCTGATTTTGAAAGTCATGCACACATTGAAGGGAAGGAGAATATTTCTTTTCCAAAGTGCTACTAAAAATTTCTTTGGGCAGGACTGCTTAATGTGTATTAAAATAATAACCAGGCACAAATAGAGCTGTATTTTAGAATATCAGAACTATAAATAGCTGAGAAACCTTCCTTTTTCTGCCTGAGAATTTCCCTAGGGTAAGTGCCTTTCTCATAAGTAAAAAATATGCTCTATAATGGGAATGAAAACCAAAGATCTGGAAGAATCTGCTTCACCTCTGACGTTCCAGTTGGGTATCATGGTCAACCTATGCTATCTGTCAGGCTGGTTAAAGGTGAGAAGTACCTGTCATTGAACTTGCCTGTCTTTTTTTTTTTTTTTAAAGATTTATTTATTTGTGCACATAGAACTGGGGTACAGGCCAGAGCTGCAGGAGCAGTGAGAGCATTCACCAGAGACAGAGTGAGGAGCAGAACAGGCTGATCGACGAAGTACACTGCTGAGGGAAGCAACGGGCGGGTCAGGAGAGGTCTGTGGTGCCATGTGGGTCACCTCCAGGGTGGGGATCAAACTCGCACTGAAGTGGCTGTGATCAGCTTGCAGTTCTGCTGCGTCCTAACCTGCTTCACCACCAGGAGGGCCCCTTATATGTCATTTTTGGGGAAGTGTGATCACATTGGTTAAAATGTCTTCAGAGCCCTTGCATTGCCAATTGCTAGAAGGGATAGATCAAAGCTGATCCAATGGCTTCTACTTTTTTTTTTTTAAAGATTTGTTTATTTATGCGTATAGAATGAAAATACAGGCTAGAGGTGCAGGGGCTGAGAGGATTCATCATAGATAGAGTAGGGAGCAGAATAGGCAGACTGACGAAGTACACCACTGAGGGGAGCAGCCAGTGAGATAGGAGAGGTGACGTGGGTCACCTCCGGGACTGGGGCTAACTT